TATTCAGGGTGGGATTAAGATGTTCAGAGACCTTAAACCCTGAAAAGATAACAGATAAATGGTCTGCTTACAGGAAGCTGCTGTGGACAGTGTGTGAAGGACCAGGGGAAGCTGAAGCCTGGAGAGGCAGGATGGGTTGAAATGATGGAGGGCTGCCACACAGAGGAGTTGGATTATTCTTATAGGCATCCAGAATCACTGGAATGTGGTTTTTGTGTGTGTGTTTGGGCAAGGGAATTGAACCCAGGGGCACTTTATCACTGAGCTACAACCACAGCCCTTTTATTTTTAATTTTGAGACAAAGTCTTGCTAAGTTGCTGAGGATGACCTCAAATTTGAAATCCTCTTGCCTCAGCCTTCTGAGTCTTGGATTATAGGTGTGTATCACCTCACCCAGCTCACTGGATGTTTTTAAGATGAGGAAGAGCACACTCAGTGGTGTTTTATAAAGTTATCTGGGGCACCAGAGAGAATACATAGGCAACAACGCTAAGTTAGGGAGAATCAGGAAGCTGTTTGGGGCATACTGGGTGAGAGACGATAAAGGAAGCCATCATTAAAGAAATAACCAGGAGAGTAGGGGGCATAGAGAAGACAAACACAAGGAACATTGAAGAATAAATCAATAGGACTCACGGGCTCAGGTTGTTAGCTCAAGTGACTAGGTCAATATGATGCTGCTTACCGAGGTAAGTACAGAAGAGGTTTGTTGGGGAAAAATTGTTCACCTTTGGAATGAATTTGAGATGGCTATGTGGAAAATTTCAGGCTGGAAATGTAACTATCATTCTTTCATTTATTCAATAAATATTTGTGAGACTGACATAGAGAAACATTTCACCAAATGGAAACATTAGAGAAATAAACTAACATTCACTATCACCAAAATTTTGAAAAAGATAAATTTTATCACCAAAAGTTGAAAGGGCAGCTAGGTGTAGTGGTGCATGCCTGTAATCCCAGTTACTCAGGAGTCTGAGGCAAGAGGATGGCAAGTTTGAGACTAGCCTGGGCAACTCAGCAAGACCCTGTTTTAAAATTTTAAAAAAATAACAAGAATTTGGGATGGTGTAGGGTGCAATTTAGTGAGGCCCTAAGCAACTTAGGGAAACCCTGTCTCTAATTGAAATATAAAAAGGGCTGGGGATGTGGCTCACTGGTTAAGCATGCTTGGGTTTAATCCTCATTACCAAAAAGTGAGGGTGGTGGTTAGGGATATAGCTCAGTGGCAGAACACGCCTGGGTTCAACCCCCAGTACCAAAAACAAAAGAGAGAGAGAGAGAGAAAGAGAGAGAGAGAGAGAGAGAGAGAGAGAGAGAGAGAGAGAGAAAGATGGAGGAAAGAAAAAAATAGGAAGGGCATAATCTCAGAATGAAGGACAGTTGTTTATAATTGAATAGATTTAGATTGTTGAAGCACCCTCTTAGGCAAGCTTTTCTCATTTCACTATGACCCATTTAAAGTGTCACTGTGTTTCAATCTGATCTGGAAACAGCCATTTCAGAACCACTGATTTGAGAAATGAGCAGAGAAAGAGAGGTCAAGACTGTAAGGTTCAATCTCCAGCACCAAAAGCAGGGGGAGAGAGAGAGAGAGAGAGAGAGAGAGAGAGAGAGAGAGAGAGAGAGAAAGAGAGGAGAGAGACAGGGAAACAGAGAGAGAATATGACTGAGAATGAAAGAATATTTAGTTCAAGGAATGGTTCCAGAGATAGGAGGAAAACAAGCAGAGTGTGATCATGGAAGTCAAAAGAGGAAGGAGAGTTTCAGAAATGAGAGTGCTCGACCAACAATGTCTTTTGCTATCCAGAGTTCAAAAAGGTCATTGGATTTGGCAATGATGAGGTTATTGGTGACCTTTGGCAGTGCTCTTTCACTGGGATGATGGGACTGGGGCCAAACTGGTTGAAGTGTGAATGGGAAGCTGGAGAATATTGAAGTCTAGGCTGTAGAGTCTACTTTAAACAAACTTGAGGGTGAAGGAAAGGTAAGAAAGAGAAGGCAGGAGGGAGAGAAAAAAAAGTTTGAGAGAAAAAGAAATTTAGGGAAGCAAGATAACACATGTGGAGAGGGGAGGGCGCTTGATTTTGGAGGTAAGAGAGTCAGGTATTTTATACTCAGAAGAGAAAGTGGTGTTATAGGGCAGCTGAACTTTCCTGAAGGGAAAGAGCATAATGTCTGAGGAAGGGCCCAGAAAAGGAGGGTGGATGAGCCAAGGCCCAGGTGAAGGGATTAGCCTTTAACGAAAGGGGCACCTTGTCCTCTGAGAGGGCTGGAGGGGAAGGAAGTTGGAGAGACAGGCCAATTGCAGGTGGGGGGGGGGCAGGGCACTGAGGTAATTCATGCTTGAAGGGCTCTGTTTTCTCAGGGAAGTATGAGCAGAGGTTGTTCCTAGCAGGGAGAGGTGTGGGGTAAGAACATGGTAGGGAACTGAAAAAGTTTGGAATGTGGCCCAGGGAAACGTGGAGGGTGGAGCAGGGGAGTTGACAAGGGAACATGCTTGAGGATTGGCTGAGAGATATCAGCCATGCATAGGCAGGCCAAGTTTTGTCTTCCCCAAGCAGCATTGGTCTACCTCTCTAGGCTGTGAGGCAGGGTCCACAGCACCTTCCTCTTTCTAGTCTATCCCCTTGTTAAGCAATATCCAGCAAAGTGGCCCCAAGGAGGCACCCAGTCCTCTCAGAAAGGCCTGACAAAGCCCAGAATAACTATAAGGCTGTTAGAAAAAACAAGAAGCAAGATCTTGATTGCCCTGATAGGAAGTTCTCCATTTTAGTTGATCTAGGCATTTTCTGCTACCCTGCTGACCACCTTAATTTTGTTCTCTGCTAAATGTGAAAGAGAATGGCCTGGCTCCCATTTTTGCCTAGCAACAGACCTTTAATCCTACAGGCTGGGGAGAAGCCAATAAGAGGGTTCAGTGGCTTCATGTCCCACACCTGAATGAGACTATGGCAATTCTTAGGAGTCAGCGAGACATAGCAGTTGTGTAAGGAGAATAAACAGCCATGAAAACAGGACTGAAGGTTCCCTGGACTCTGGGAGAGCATGCTGGGAGTAAGACGTAAGGGGAACCCTGAGGCCTCCTGCTCAGGGAAGTGAAAGGAGTGGCCGAAGGAGCACAAGTTCAAGGTGGAAGGTGGCATGTGTTGCACAACTAAGTCTAGTTCATCAGTATTACAGGGCTCAGGAGAAATGTTTATGTGTTCCTCCTGCCTGTTGTCAGAGGCCACCTAGAGGTCAAAAAAATTCCAGGGTGTTACAATATTTCTTGAGCTTCTTTCTCCTGCACATGCTATCTGCAAGGCACCCAGTCTCTTTAGCGTCACTTCTCTTGGTCTCACTTCTCGTTTCAGCCAGTGATGCAGTACAAGCAAATTTCTATCTCTTGGAAGTTAATTCAACCAGAATTTTCAGAGACTGGTAGAAGCTGGAGCTCCCCAGTAACCCTTCCTTCCCCTCCAGGATTCCTCTCTTCAGAATCCAGGGTCTAGCATACACTTTCAGGAATAGAGAGCTCTCCCCCCCAGCCCTAGGCAGTGCACTCATTTCATCTCATAGAATAAAACTGTTGAGGGCTGGTACAGTGCCAGGGCCTTGGGTTAGGTAGTGACTGAGCTGTTAGAAAGTTTCCCTTCGATTGAGCCAAAATGTGTCTCCCTGTAGCTTCTATCCTTGGGCCTCAGCCTTGTCCTTTTAATTCACATAGAACACGTGTAAACTCATTCAAATATTTGAAAATGGCTGTTGTTTCCCCTAAGAATATTCTTTCTGCCACAGATAAGCATTTTTTTTCTTTCAATTGTTTTTTTTTGTTGTTATTACTTTTTTTTTTTTTGATACCAGGGACTGAACCCAGGGAAGCCTAACCACTGAGCCACATCCCCCCCTCCTTTTTTTTTTTTAAATTTTGAGACAGGGTCTCCCTAAGTTGCTTAGGCTGAGGGTGGCTTTGAACTTGCAATCCTCCTGCCTAGGCTTTCTGAGCTACTGGGATTATAGGTATACACTACTGTGCCCATCTGTCTTTACTTTTAATAGCAGTTTGGTTGTGTATCTTTCTTCAAAATCCAGAAATGCATATAGAAGGAAGTAGCAATCTGCCATATTCTTCCTCTCAGAACCAACAACTGTAACATTCTTTCTTGTAACCAGTCTTTTTTCCTCTGCATACTGTGCATTCTACACTGTTTTCTAACCAAAATGGAATCCTTTTCTACATAATATTTTAGAAGATTATATTCTTTCACTCTTGAAGGTATTAACTTTTCCCTCATTCTTCTACTAGGCTAATTTTCATATGAAATTCTTTAACTGTTTAATAATTGATTTAACTTACTTTGTCAGGCAAGACACTTAGGTTGTTTTCAATTTTTCTTTACTACAAAGAACACTGGAATTTGAAGTGGAATGGGGTAGGGAGTAGGTGAATGCAGAAAGACAAGCCCTTGAATCAATTAGTCATATGACTTTAGCATCTGATTTTTTTCCATTTTCAATGTTTATAATTATACTTCCTAGAACACGACCATGAATGCCTGCTTAGTATTTGGTTGCAAAGATTTACCCAAATTAATATAACTGGTTTCCTATTATTGGACACTGAGACAATTTCTAATTTTTGATGATTACAAACCAGGCTGTGATGAATATCCAAGAAGCTAAATCTGTGCTGGTGCTGGACACTGAGGTCAGTAGGGATATTTTCAAGACCTCTAAAGAATAAGGTGCCTGCCAGTAGTTGTAACTGGAAGCTTTTTGGCAAAGACCCAGAAGGCTGGCTAAGGCCAAGGACTATGGTCAAGCCTCTGGGCTTGCCTGAGGTCAGTACCCATTACCCAGCTCCCATCACATAGTGTTCATGTTGGCAGGGACCTTGGGGACCACTGGGCTGGCAGCCTTATCTCACACGTGAGAGAACGGAGGCCTGGGCTGGTCCTTCGACAGCTTAGCACTGGGCAGAACTCTGCTTCACCCCAGCCCCTGGCTCCTGAATAGAAAGCTGTGATCTGCTTTCAGATTTGGAATCCGCCCCAGAGGCCCCAGGAACTCCTGCCGGCTGTCCTTCACTGGACCATTTACTGCTAAGGCTGGAGACAGAGGACTCAGGCACTTTTGCAAATGAACTGAGCAGCAAGGGGGTGGAGGGTGTTGAAAGAAGATTGGAGGGCTACCCCACAGGCAACTGGGCCTGCTCCACCCAGAATCCCCCCTTTTTTTCCCTAACCCAGGTGATAGGCTTAGTGGCAGTCATCCTATGTAAGGTCCATCTGGCAAATCTATTTGGGGTTTAAGCTGAAATAGCAGGTGAGTCCCTCCCTTTCCTTAGAGGGGTCAGCTGTTTGTACTGGGAACCAGCTTTGCTAAAAAGGCCTGTCTATCCTGCCCTCTGTCCCCAACAGCTCTCTGTGGTTTTGGGTGCTAATGAGCTCTCCTCCCTCCCTGCTTGGGCCTTGCTATGGGCTGGGGAATTCACACAAATGGTGTGCAATTTGTCCCTTCTGGGTTTTCCTTTCTGACTTGGAGCTAAAGCAAACCCCTCAACCCCCACTGACATCTTGTTTATTCAACTGGGAGAGATTTAACACCCAGGAACCCAGCTCCCCTCTCTGAGCTCCTTTCCCAAATCTTCATCCCCCTCCCAAGCCCCCAGCCCTGCACTCCCTGAATAATTTATAAGTCTAGGCAGGGCTTATAAAAGGGTCTCTAGAGAAAGACCAATAGTGTGTAGAAAGTTTTGAGAAGTAGGAGAGCCCACTGTCTGCCTGACCTTGGTGTCCTAAGGATGGACCCTGCTGCTCCTGCTGCTTTGGTGCCTGTCCCAGACCTGGCTTTGGCCCTACCACCAGTTTCCCAGGAACTCCCTGGCCTATTACACCCATCATCCCTTCTCTCTTCTGGACAAGAAATACCTGGGAGTGAAAGGTAAGTGGAACTTGGCATTTGGCAACCTGAACTCAGGCTTAGGGGGTTTCTAGGAGAGAGGGGAGATGAGCTATTGGAGCACCTCTGCTCTGTAAAGGGAAGAGGCAATGGCCTCACAACCCCTGCGTCACATCTCTGGCCTGGAATATTTCATTTGGCTTTTCACTTCACTAATGCTTCCAGGTGGCAGGAGGGAATTGGGGGACAGTGGGCATTGCCAAAGCTGAAGGTCAAGCAGCCAGGTCCTTGTAGGCCAGGTGTAGAGTCCACTGAGTGGCACTGGGCCTAACATGCCTAGACTGTGGCTGAGGATGTAGGGAAAGAGCCAACATCTAAAGAAGCCTTTGACTGGGGCAATTGTCTTTTCCCCAAACATACCATATGACTCTCATCTGCTTTTTTTCCTACCTCTGTAAGTCTGGTGGGGAAACAATGGGCCTGGGAATATTTCTGGTTCCTTCCCCCAGCCCAGGAAGATGGTAGGGTTCTGAGCTCTACTTCTTGGAGCAGGAGGTAGGAGGCAAAATAGTTTCCTCCCAACCCTCATTTACTCCTCCAAATATTTCACATTCAACAAACCTTTACTAAAGCACCTGTTATGTCCCAGGCATTGTGCTAGGTGTTGAGAATTTAGATATGCTCAAACATTTCATTGAGCCTAAGAAACTCAGCATCAACTGATCTATTTTTTCTCCTAGAGGAGCTTGTCTTTGGAGGCCCTGGCTGTCCTCCACAAATGACCCCCCAAGGCAGGTGAGGAAGTTGGTGGATTGGGTGAGTTTGGGTCCTTGTGATATATCTTTATAGGCACATGCAGCCACATTCATTCACACTGGCCAAGTCCCTTCCCAGAGAGCTCTTGACCTCAGTCCAAGGCTGCAAATCTGAGAGCTCATCCTTTTGGCTTTGCTAACATTTGAATTCCACAGCAGCTCTGGGAGGCCCAAGATTTCCATGTCCAATGGAAAAATGAAGAGACTTAGGCTCAGAGTGGGAAAAATGTTTGGGAAGGCCCCATAGCCAGTGTTCAGCAGAGCTGGTGCCCAAATCCCAGTCCCCTGGCACAATGCCTTTGTATTCTCCCACCCTACCTCCCTGAATCTTGGCTGCTCCAGTAGAACTCTGTCCCCTGGACAGCCTCCAAACAGGTGTTAGAACAGGGGCGGGAAAGCAAACAACCCCAGGACTCTGTCCATTTGTTTTTCAACCAGAACCAGGACAGACCCACTTGTTGTAGGACAGGGGGCTGGGGAAGTAGACCCTGGAAACATCTTAAGATCTCTTCCAGATCGTCCTACCTGCAGATTTCTGACCTCTGATGTGAGGGGGGGGGGCAGTTATCTGGCCATGCACTTTGAGCCACATGCTAGCTTTTGCTTTGGACAGGCTGCTGGTGGGGTAACGGCCGCTGAGGCCACCAAGGCTGACTCTGAATTCCATCACCCCGTCAGGTAAGCTTCTGGCACCAAGCTTAGAACTTTATATAGATACATTAGCTGTCTAAATCCTCACAACAGTCCTGAGAAGCAGGAGGAAGGAGGCATTTGTATGATCATTGTTTCACAGTCAAGGAAACTAAGCCCAGAGAGGTTAAGGGACTTTCTTGGCCAAGGTTGCTTTCCCAGGAGGCATTGTCACTCTTCCCTAAGGATGAGCCCCTGTACACACAGCAGTGAAGGAATCTATGATAAAAAAGATGGGAAGCACAGCAATAGAGATTTCTTGGCTAGAAGTCTCCTGGGAAGGGGAGTAGGGTAAGGGCTAGAACTGATAGATGTGGGGCTAGGTCCTCCCACAGCTGTAGGTCCACCAAAGGTGACCTTCTTGCCAGGGTCATTTTGTAACAGTTCAAAAACTTCTATTACAAAGCTCTCTTTCAACCTTTCCCTCTCACCCCATTAATCCAGTTAAGAGAAGGGGTTTATCGGCTGACTTCCTTCTTGGCCCTACTGGTGCCTCTGTATACTCAACTAGTCTACATTTGAGGCCATGTTTCTTCTCTGCCCACAGGCTCTTCTGGCCGAAATCACGCTCCTTTGACTACCTGTATAGTGCTGGGGAAATTTTACTGCAGAATTTCCCTGTCCAGGCCACTATCAACCTTTATGAGGATTCTAACAGTGAAGATGAAGAAGAAGAGGAGGAGGAGGAGGAGTATGAAGAGGAGAAAGAGGAGGCTAATAAAAAGGGGCCAGAAGGGTGTGTGAGAGTACCAGGGCCTGCACCACACAGGGCCACAGCTCCTCCTGTCCAAACTGAAGCAGTCACTGATTGGCAAGTTTCCTAGGGCCTTTCCAAGGGACAGCTTTCTGGACTAAAAACTGGGTCCTCAAGCTGCCCAGCTCATCCTGGCTTACCCAACTAGCTGGTGAACTCAGGCTCCTGGCATCTCATTGTCTGGGCTTCTGACAGGATTCCTAGGAGCTCTAGGGAAAGGAAAACCTGTTTCTGAAGCCCCCAGGAAACAGAGCAGGGCAGGGCATGCCCTTGTGGAGGAGAACAGTCACTTCTCAGGGCCTTTGACAACTTCCCAGGTGGCCACATAAGTCCAGTCTCTCCCATGGGAAGCCTGACTTCTGACTTTACCTCCAGGGACACCAATACCAAATCCAAGCAAATTTGGGGCACCTTTCTGATGAGTCTTGTAGGAAGACAAGGAGGCATCTAGAGAATCAGCTTGCTCTGGGGACTCCTTCCCCCATTTTGCTTGCTCTCCATTGAAATCTGAGTGTTGGCATGAGATGAATCAGGAGAAAAATAAACTACATGATGTTTGCCTTTTTCTTGGAACTGTGCTGATTTCTTAACTGAACTCTGCCCATGTTGTGAAGCCATGAGTGGAGGGTCAGAGACCAGCTCAAGGCCAATTCATTGTTGTACCTGAGGTCAGTTGACAGATTTTTCTCCTTTGGGATGTAGGGCTAGGGACCCAGCATGATGCCAAGGCTTCTCAATTTGTGAAATCAGGCTTGTTTAAATTTCTAGGATAGTTTAGAAAGCCCTCAAAGGGTAGCTTGAAAATTGGGAGTAGGGGATGGGCTTCAGGGGAAGGAGGGAGTGTTGGAAATGGCTGTGCATGTGTGAGGAGGGGTATTTGGGGTGCTACTAAGTCCTGTCAATTTTTTTGGCACCAAGGATTGAACCCAGAGGCACTAACCACTGAGTGACAACCCCAGTCCTTTTTCTATTTCACTTAGAGACAGGGTCTCACTGAGTTGCTTAGGGCCTCACTAAATTTCTGAGGTTGGTTTTGAACTCACAATTCTCCTGCTTCAGCCTCCCAAGCCACTGGGATTACAGGTGTGTGTCACCATGCCTGGCCTATCCTGTCAATTTTCTGTCCTTAGTTCCCTTTGTGTCCCCCACAGCTCAGGCCTGGTTGTTGACCTTGCCCCAGTTCCTCTTCAGCTAATTTTGTTGCCTCCAGCATGTCCTTTGCAATTTGTTTTCTGAACTGGCTATTGAACCAGGCTAGGTCATGTCCTTACTTCACCAATAGCTAGGCTTATGGTCGTTCTGTTTGGTTTAGGTTTTCTGTTTGTTTTTGATCACAGAATCCCTTGGAAATCTAGGGCTTCCCTACCCAGAAAAAAATACATGTGTATACACACATACAATGCTATGTATTTCCAAATCAAGTCCTTAATGTAAAATTCTAAGGTTTTCAATTATCTGGATTTGCCTCTCTTGCTTATTTACTTGTTTTGCAGAACTGGGGATTGAACTCAGGGCTTCACATATGCTAGGCAAATGTTCTACCACTGAACTATATCCCAAGCCCAGATTTCTGTCTCTTTAGATTCATCCCTCAACTCTTGCAATTTATACTGTGTCCTTGAATATGGCATACTTTCTAACATCTCTGTGGCTTTAAACTTCTGTCTGCAATGCCTTTTCACTTTTGCATATCTTGTACTCCCATACCTGCTATATGACTAGTCCACCAACCACTCCTATGAGAAGCCACTCCAAGCAGACTGACCCCCTCCACTCAGTGCCTCTCCTACCATAGCACCTGCCTCCTTTCCTATCCTATGCGTAAGATATAGCAGGGTTTGATATCCCCATATGGCTTTATAGCACAGCAAGTGACAGGCACAAAGGAGTTGCTTAGGAAATGCTGAAAGTCAAAATTCTCAAGTCTTCTTAAAGCAGCTCTTGGTAGAACCAACTTCCATTTACTTGCCTGTTTCCCTATATCTTAGCTACAAAGAGGACAAGATAACATCTTATTGAGAGGGAGAACGATGGCTACTTTTTTTCCCCTCCTTTTTCAAACTGAGATAATCAGCTTCAGTTCTGAGCTATAGTTGGGACTTTGCAAATTCAGATAGAGCCTTGAGCCGGCCAACAAACTCACACACTGGTGCCATCTATTGGTCAAAATTTAACCTTGTTCTTTAATTAAAGTTGCTAGTTGATCTTTGACCACTTTAATCCTTTTATTCCATTCTGTTTCTGCTTTTAAGTAAAATGGAAACTACCATGTGCTTGTTGTATGACCTTGGGCAAGTTACTTATCCACTCTGAGCCCTCTCTTCATCGGTATAATGAGGATAATAATGTTACTTCCTCTCAGAGTCATTGTGAGGATTCAACAAGATAGTATGTAAAAAGTATTTAGTCTGGGTCCTGGCACATAGGAAAACCATCCAGTAGGTGATACTAGTCATAATAATAGTAGTTGTGGTAGCTGATATTATTAATTTTATAAAAGAAATGAGATTATAGGGTTGAGTCAACTAATGACTGATCTATTAAGTACCATTTGATTGTCTAACCAGTCAAAACATCTTTGCAGTGTTCATCTCCATTAAAAACAAACAAACAAACAAAAAACCCAAAAGTTAAATGACAGAGGTCAAGTACTGTTTCCTGTACCACTCTTGACATTCAAATGGCAGCCCACAGGTTTTGGGATCCTGTCCTAAGACAGCGGTTTTCAAACCTATTTTCATGCTTTCACAGGAAAACCTTTCTTTGGAATTGTGTTTTGAATCAAGTGCAGAAGCCTAATATATAAGTCAGATAAAATGGAGCTGCCCTGGGGAAGCCAGAATCCCTGCCCTAGTGTCCTCCACTCTCCTTTAAACTCTCTCTACTCCCACTTATTTATTTATTTTTGTAGTACTAGGGATTGAACCCAGGGACACTCTACCACTAAGCTGCATTTCCAGTCCTTTAATGTTTTTTGTTTTAATTTTTTTTTTTTACATTTTACTTGTAGCAAGGATTACTATCAAACTCTACTCATTGGGTCAGAATGGAGTATTAGCAAAAAACTTGCCCCTCATGTAGCATACTACCTATACTTGCAAGTACATTTTATGTTTTAATTTTAAGACAGGGTCTTGCTAAGTTGCTGATGGTCTCACAAAATTCCTGAGGCTGACCTGAAACTTGCCATCATCCTGCCTTAGCCTCCAGATTCACTGGAATCTCCACCCTCTTTTGTGAAGCACTATTGGGAATCCCCAGATTGTGGGGAAGACAGTCATGAAACCACTGTCATAAGGGTTAAAATCAAGAATGATATGAAGCTGAGGGGGGATTAATTAGTATTTTAACATGACCAGTGTTCCGTTTAAAATCCTTGTTTTGGGTCCTATTTTTTAGGTCCTATTTTGTTAAAATCCTTTGTTTTGGGTTCTATTTTCATATCTCAAAAATTGCTTGAGTCCTTATACCATAGGTTATAGGGATTTAAAATCCTTGGAATCCCAATATCCTTGGTTTTAAAGTATTATATAGCATAGAATTACAAATCCCAAAATCCCCAGAGGTTTAAAGACCCTAAAACCCTTGGAACAGTAATTCTTAACTCAGAATGAGCTATTCTCACTCCCCCACACCTCCCTCTTACTGTGCACGTGCTGTTGTTTACTGAGTAGACATTTTGTCTCACTTTCCTTCCAGTACCATGTCCTGAAATGGCTTCCAATCCTCCTCCCCTCCACATGGTTGCTAAGTGATTGGAACTCACCATTTGGACTAATCAGAGCCCAGTGTGAGTTACTTTGGTATCAGTGTATTCAACTCCCATGCACAATTGTAGGGAAAAAAATCTTGTTCAAAACCCAGAGTCCCAGAGTCCTTCCTCCAACTCTGCTCAGCTGTCCCATCCCAGTGTCACACAATACCTTTCCACCCAACCACTGATTGCCTCCTTTCCCCAACCACATAGCAACAGAGAGGGCATATCTGTTGAGAGTGAAGTTGCATTTGAACCGGACCTTGAAGGATGGACATGGATATAGATGGAGAGAGAAAACTTTCCAGGTAAAGGAGTACCTCTTCATTTACTAAGCACTACTATATGCCCAGTGTTAATACTGTAGTGATTAAGAGCATGATCTTTGGAAGCAGATGTACCTGGTTTCAAATTCCATATTTCTCACCCGTTGATTCTAATCATTAGCCTATGCCCCTGGAGTGTTAAATTCAGCTTTCTGCTCTTAATCTCACTGCAATCTCTGTAGTTCTTTATTATATCTACCGCCACCTCACCCCACACAAGTTCATTAAAATAGTTGCCTATTCTCTGCCTCTGTGCACAGAATGTCCCCTACTCATACTTCTGTTACCAACTCCGTTTCTCACCCCTTCCCCACAACTGTACCTGTGTGGTTGTGTATCAGGTAGATATGTTATCTCCTTTCTTTGCCAGTCCTATGCTGTAAAATGGTGGCCGATCTTTTTCCCAAACAGGTTGTTATGTGGCTTGAGTTGACTGTTTTGACCTGTTAGGAGCCTGGTGTTGGTTACTGTGTTTTTGTTTTACCCCCAGTTGGCATGGCTTGTAGCAGCCTCCATGCAAATGTGCAAACCCAGGTACAAAAATATCCAATAAGGAAGGCTGGGAGTATGGCTCAGTGGTAAAGCTCTTGCCTGGCAGGCATGAAACCCTGGGTTCAATCCCAAGTACTGCCAAACACACACACACACACACACACACACACACACACACACACACCCTAACAAAAACTTAAGCAAAGAGTAAATAAATGCTCAGTGAGTGAGAGTTATAGCACTCACTCTGCCAGGCATTTACCATAGATGGTATGCCCTTAATCTTGTATGATACTATAATCACAACAATCAGGTGATAGGCATAATCAGTAACCTTCATTTATGAATAATTCTTTCTTTCTTTTTTTTTTCTCCTGAGTTTGTGCTTGCATGGAGATTGCATGGGGTTATGGCTTGCATGGGGCTTACCAGCTGGGGGTAAATCCAAACCCAGTAACCAACCAGGACCCCGACAGGTCAAAAGAGTGAAGGCCACTATTTTACAACAGGGGACTAGGGAGGAAAGCAGGCGAACTGTCTGTCCACTAGATAGCCCCAAAGACACAATTGGGGTGGGTAAGCAGGAGGTGGTAACACCCACTCAGGTGGAAGAGGGGCTTTCCTGTCCAGAGAGCAGGTAACAGGGTGAACAGGAGGATAAGACAACAGCTGATTTTGAACTCTTCTAGGAACTTTACATGGATTAACTCCTTTAATACAATATCCCCAAGGGGTAGGTAAAGTTAGGGAAACTGAGGCATAGAGTGGTTTTTTTTTTTTAAAAAGAATTGTTCCAGGGGCTGGGGTTGTGGCTGAGTGGTAGAGCACTTGCCTAGCATGTGCAAGGTGCTGGGTTTGATCCTCAGCACCACAAAACAATAAATAAAATAAAGCTATTGTGTCCGATATAACTAAAAACTTTTTTTTAAAAAAAGAATTATTCCAAATCACACAGTTG